ATTAAAAGCACATAAGTTAAAAACTGCTATGCGAAGTTATTTTAACTGGAAGAAAGCAAACACCTTTGTTACTTATGTTTATATTAAAAAGTAAGAAATTGGTGCGTGATATTTTTAGAATTAGCATACAAAACAACAAAAGAACCAAAAAAAACTATTGAAAAAGTTTTTTCATTGTTTGCCTGACACAAGGAATTTAAATATACTGACTTTTTCATCTACCGGTAATTCTTTAAAAAAAAAAATTGAAACGTTTTTCATACCGGTATACAGTATTTTACCGGTATACTTTATTTATATTTATAAACTTACCTCTAAATTATTACCGTTTAATTTATAAATATAAATAAAGTATACCGGTAAGGAGCTGTCCATTAATTACGTAAACAAAATGAGGGGGAAGAGGGGGAGGGAGTCTGAAATTTAATGACAATTGTTGACAAAGGGGAGGGGGTGGGAGAAGGTCAAGGTTTTTTTAAACAAAGTTAGTTACTTAAAAAAAGGAAAATTAGGCACCTTTGCAGTCCTGTGTTACACGCTCACTTAACCTTCAGTATTTTAATAAAGCTATTTATATTGCTACTTTTTTTAAACCGTAATGCGCTTTAAAAAGACCCAATACATGCATAACTAAATCAGCACGCACAAAATGTTTACTTGTAACACTATTATTTTTTAAAAGTTGTTAATGGTTAGTCTTCTGCCTAAACAAAAAAGATTTGTGCAAAAAAAAAAAAAAAAATGGTTGTCAAATATCAATGTAATTTTATGGGGATGGGGTCTCTAAAAATTTAAAAAGTTGTTGAGAAGGGGAAGGTAAAATCGCTAAAAAATTGTTGACGTAATTAAAGGATGACTCCTAATACAGATATAATAATGCAGGAATATCTTTATTAAATACTATTTATTTAAAAACAGCTTTTTAAAAATGTCTAATTCATAACTTTACATTGTTTCTGCAAGCAATGTACAGCAATAAAAGTACTACAATCCCTACCTGACATATTTGATAGTTGATTTTAAATACTTCAACTACTCAATTATTTAATTATAATTGTGTAGTTGAAGTATTTAAAATCAACTACACAATTAATCTTCATTAATTTAGTTAAATAATGTTTTGCGTTGCTGAAAAAAGGCAAGCTTTTTTCTGGATACATGTTCCTTATAAAAAAACTGTTATCGAATCTAGTTCTATTTATAGTGTATTTATAATTATTTAAGTATTTATAATTAATTAATACTTTTACAAGAAAACACCGTACAAAATATGGCAAAGATGACATTTACTTTCAAAATTGACATTCAACAAAGATGTAGTACAGATTAGATGACATTTTATTATTTTTGTTGTTCGGTGTTTTCTTGTAAAAGTATTAATTAATTATACACTATAAATAGAACTAGATTCGATAATCTAAAAAACGTTGTTTTTTAGATTATCGAATCTGTCGTTTTAGTTGTTTTTTGAACTGATAGAGCTCAGTAAATAATGCATTTATTGTATTATGTGTATTATCGTTTTTTAGATTGCTTTAATCAACTAATTTTAGGAGAAGTTTCTTATTCAGTAAAAGATTTTACTTTTACTAAAATTAACTTGTTAAGACATATATATCACATGTTATTTTATTTTGTAACTTTTATTATTTTGACTAACAACCTACAAAACTTATTATTTACAAAAGTTGACGTAGTATATTAAAATTGATATTAAAAAACAAATGGTTTGGAGAAAAAGACCAAAAGTTTCGGTTTCGGTTGCTAGGTGGGGTTGCTAGTTTAAAATTAAGTTCTAAAAAACTACGATTTCATTTGTTAATTAAGAATGAAAAAACAAGAAAAATATATTTTTTATTTATAGCAATAATATTGTAAACGAAAAAAGTATAAGTTTAAACGAACAAAGTTATAAGTTTATGTTCTAAAAAAAAGTTAGAATGTAAGTTTAGAAGTATACTTTCAACTAAGTGTAAATAAATTTAGACTCTATTTTATATGTTTAAGGATTATTGATACTGCTTTTCAGCATAACGTTGATATGGCGTTTATAAAGTTGATATGGCGTTTATGAAGTTGACATGGCGTTTATGAAGTTGATATGACATTTATGAAGTTGATATGGCGTTTATGAAGTTGATATGGCATTTATTAGTGATGCAGTTTTTGCTAATAAATCCCATTTGCTTGTACTTAACATGACTTTCACAAAGTTTTAAGAGCAATTAGCAACATGAAAGTTGTTTCCATTTTCAACAATACTTTAAGAAAACTAAAATACTCTTCTGCTTTATTTTTATTAAAATGTTCAATACTATAAAAGTTTAACTATTTTTAATGATAAATCAAATCAGACTTTAGTTAGTCTTACTACGCTTATGTAATAAGCGTAGTCTTACTTTAAATTAAGTTAGTCTTACTACACTTATGTAATAAGCGTAGTCTTACTTTAAATTAAGTTAGTCTTACTACACTTATGTAATAAGCGTAGTCTTACTTTAAATTAAGTTAGTCTTACTACACTTATGTAATAAGCGTAGTCTTACTTTAAATTAAGTTAGTCTTACTACACTTATGTAATAAGCGTAGTCTTACTTTAAATTAAGTTAGTCTTACTACACTTATGTAATAAGCGTAGTCTTACTTTAAATTAAGTTAGTCTTACTACACTTATGTAATAAGATATTTTAAATTAAACTAGAACACTGAGAGCTTTAGATAATTAATGGCAGAGGGGTACATTCACCACAAGTGTCTTTAATTTCCTTGACATTGCTTGGGTTCTAAAATTGTTATAAAAGGTTTCACATGAAGGATGATAATACAGCTGAGCCTAGTCTACTACTAGTTCAAAAGCAAATCTTTTAAGACAAATTTAAAAGTTATATTTAAAAACTCAACAAATGCAAAGATCATAAGTTTTTGCACACCTAATGATGTAAAAGATTTGAGAATATGCACTTTTTAAATAAGAAAACTGTCTCTTTGGTTATTAAATATATTCTTACAAACCTTTAGAAACCTACGACTACTATTAATGCCCAGTACTACATACATATTTATTTAGTGGAAGATCATACTTGTCAACCATGTGTTAAACAAATACAACGGTCATAGTGAAAAATGACTAAGCGCTGAGCTTTTCTAGTTTGCTTATTAAATAAATCAAGCACAGCATTTGTAGAACTCTAGAGGTATTCAAAAGTTTTGACAATTGATCAGTTGATTTAACTGATTTACAATTTGTTCCAGTTTGAAAAAAAATGGCTGCTATGTGAGTCTGTTTGAAAGAAAGAATTTAAACAGAAGCATATGCTATTCTACTAATTGGCTGCTAACAGTGCTAACACTTTTTAACTGAACTCAGAGCCGCCGAGAGCTGTCACACCGCCTGGGAAAAGCAACCTCGGCGGCCCTGACTACACTAAGAAAAGACTAACCTTAACTGATTCTTTGCTTGTTCCGATTGTAATGAAACAAACAAAGAGATAAATAAGATAACAGCACTTAGGATTTTTTTTCGGAGTTTTAAGAATAACTTTGTGAAAGTCAAAAGAACAACGTTGATTATTCCTTATTTCAAAACTGTCTACAACAAGCACAAACGGCAAAATGTTAGTTTAGGATCATAGTACTCAATAAAGTTTAAAGATTCTTCTTCTCGCAAGCCTTCTTCTTTTTCTTCTCGCAAGCCTTCTTCTTTTTCTTGCAAGCCTTTTTCTTCTTCTTGCAAGCCTTCTTCTTTTTCTTCTTCTTCTTCTCGCAAGCCTTCTTCTTCTTTTTCTTCTCGCAAGCCTTCTTTGTAAGCCCGAATTCTCTTATTATCTATTTGAACTTTTTTGAAAGCACAGAAACATACTTTTGCATTATTCTAAGTATTTTAGAGTCCTTTTAGGTAATGTTAATACAACCTTTGACACCTAATATTTATCTGCTACTCTTGTACTAGATTTTTCTGTATTGATAGTGCGTAAATAATTGGAAAAATTTAAAAAAAACACTTTTGATAGTAAGCCAAGAAATTTTCTTTACATCAATGTTGTAAAAAATAGATTTCCTTTATTGTGAACATTTCCTTTATTGTGAAAAAAGCAATTTTTTAATTTTTTCAAATATGTTGAAAATACTGAAATAGACGAAAAATACTGAAATAGTACATAAATTACGTTCGATAATTTTTATAGAACTACGATAATTTTTATAGAACTTTAAACTCGAATAGAAATTTGTACATTATTCTGGTTCAGGTTAGTGTTTAACTCATTTTTTAGAAACTTTTAAAAATTTAGAACCTTAATTGTAAAAATAGAGCATACAAGCAGTTTATACAATTTTAGAATTTAGTTGTAAATACTGAAATGGGACGTAGCTTGAACGTAGCTAAATGTATTTAAGTTATCATTAGTTTGTAAAATTCATGCCTATGTAAAAACAAATACCTTGTACAAAATATTTCATAAACTTTTTTTTTCTAAGTGTGTACTTTATGCAACTCACATTTTTGAAAACTGGTTTATACTAATATTGTTACAGCCTCATCTTAGTAACTGCATCACTTTCAGTACGTGTTTTTAATTCATCAAACGCAGCTGTGTTGAAACCAGGTTCAAAAATCACACATGATACTTAACTGGACAATAAACTTTGTGCAGGCAACTAAAAACTACAGAGGGAAGGGTGTGGGTATGCCCGTCAGTATTATTAATAATGTTGTAGCTTATAAACTGATACATTTTACATAAGACAAAAATAGCAAAATATAATTGAGGGGAGCAGTTTTCTTTATTGCCAACACTTCCGTCCCCTCCCCCCCCCTCCTTTTCTATAATAAGAACGCATTTTAAACCAACTCTGTTTTGAAACCAGTTGAAACTCTGTTTCAACTGGTTACATCACCGAGGTTTAAAACTTAACCAAGTACAAAACGTTGAATTCTCTGGCGCGTTTTTGTCTGACTCGAAAGAATATTACTCAAATCGGCCGAGTTTTTATGGTTATTTTGCTTTTTCATGATTATGCACCGTACTCGAAGTAAAAGAAAAGCGCAAAATTTCTTTATAAGACAATTCTTAACAAATTATGAATAAAAATACTTTAGCCTCGTAAAAATAATAATATTTTTGGTATACTTTAAGTTTATAGAAATGGCCTCATTAAGTAACGTTGTAATCGAAACAGAAAAAGATATACCGCTAGTAAACAAAGTAAAAGATGCTGAAATGAATAAAATGGATGGTCTAGTAGTTCAAAGGTAAAATGTTGCATATTTTTCATAAATCGAAAGGCTTAAATAACTATTATAGAGCATTTTAAAACTTTTTAATCTATCTACATATAAATGTTTACATATAACATTGTTTACTCGTACAAAAATCAGAGCAGGATGTGTGATGATTGTTTAACAAAAGAAAAAGTTAAATTGCAATGTTTTTTTTTCATATTATATTTTTAGTTTGCGTGAAAACTTTGAATTAAGAGAGAATTCTAGTGAAAGTTTAAGCTGTATTGTCGAGTTAGTAAAAAATTCTTTTCCTGATTATGATGCATCATCAGTTCACCACTGTCTTGTGGAGGCATTTCCTGACCTTCAAGCGCAGCAGAGTAATGACAAAGAAGAAATTTATTATTTGGGCATCAGTTTTATAAATAGTCAGTCTGAAGAAGAAAGAATTATTACATGGTATAAAATGTTAGGTTAACCTGCAAATTATTTTATTAGTCAATTATCAATCATTTATTTTATGCAACAATATTATGCAAGTACTATAAAGTTATATTTATAAAATTTAATATTTAAAGTTGCAATATTTCAATTTTTATTAAGTTATAGTTACTATTAAATCTACAAACATCTGAAATAAGAATTTATGATAGTTATATGCATTAGGGATTAAAAAATGTTAAATTAACATGACTGATTTAAAATTTTTTGTTTTTATAATGTCAATGCACGCTGTTACATAATTTATTTTTAGATTTAAGGTTATTTTAAGTTATTTTTAAGTTTCTAATTTTTAACATAAAATATTATCTATTTTTGCATATAATTTATTATTGTTTAAGGCTTAAAAACAGGTTTCAAGAAGATCAATTTGGAAGAGTTTCAACACAAACATTAATAGAAATTGCTAGAAAAGAATCTGGAGGTTTTAAAACAAATTCTCTTGGTTATTTTCTTCGAAAAGCTTTTCCCAAAATTTATATGCGACGATCAGACAGGCTTCGGTGGTGGTGCGGTATATGCTTGCCAGAACAAGAGTTAACTCAAGAAGACAAAAGAATAAATGCATGGTTACATGCAGCAAGTAAATGGTATTGATTGTTTAGAACTGCTAATGTTATAATGAAGGTAGCAGAGTTTATGGTTTAGAAACCCTATAAAAATAATAAAAATAAACCTAATAACATTTTAAAAAACTAAAAAGGCAGCAATTTAAAAAAAAATAAATAAAAGAGTAGTCTCTTCAGCAGAAATTTAAAAAAATAGGGCTTCAGCTGAAGTGGGCCTTTATGTAGTTTTAGGAAGGTGAATTTAATAAAAATAGTTAAACATTAATTTTCAGTAGAATTTTGGTTTTTAGAATTTAAGAAAATTTTTTTTTTTTTGACAGTCTCAAAAACTAATAGAATTTAAAAATGCATGAAGCTACTTAATCTTAAAAAATTAGTTAGACTTTGCACACGTTATTTTTGTATTTTAACTTTTTGTACTTTCTTTTATTTTTATTATTTATGTTTTTACAATTTTTGTTGAAATGTTTAGGCTAAGACAAAACATGTTTTTAAAAATTGGAACTAAGGAGCAATGCTCAGTAGTGTATGCTGCTATTGCAAATTATGTTGGCAAGGAATCTCATCACCAATATATTACAGCAATTAAAAGTGTCTTCCCTAATATTATTCGTAAAACAATCAACAGAATTGACTATTATCTTGGTAAGTTATTACCTTTTAATAGATATATATAATAGTTATTAGATATATATGAGTTTTGAATAAAAGTCTGCATAAGTATGTTCAATGTTAGCATTGTGTATTACGATTATATACTTATGCATAACTCTCTAAGATTAGACTAAATAACTCTCTAAGATTATCTTGAAATTTAAACTATATTGATTCATAATATTGAAGTACAGTTTGATATCATTTAAGTAATAGTATTGTAGAGTTTTTTATTTATTAAAAAAATTATGTTAGAAGTAATTTTTTTTTTAACTGTAATAATAAAAACTAAATAGTCTATTTAATTTGGTTGTAGCTATCCGACCTAATATTCCAAGGAAAAACAAAATGTTTGAAAATATTATTCTTTTATTATTTACAGTAATAATTTTAAAAATTATTTAAAGAGTCATTTCATCTGAAATTTTTAAATATGTATATATATATATATATATATATATATATATATATATATATATATATATATATATATATATATATATATATATATATATATATATATATATATATATATACACACACAGTACTGGACAAAAGTCTGAGACCAAGGGTTGAAAAAGACTAAAAACTGATTTTAACCATAAAATTTTATTCAATGAACAACCATGTTAATTTTTTCCAATATAATTCATACTACTAGGAATAAGTACAACATACTTTGTGAAATAAAACACAAAATGTCCATGTCATGTCAGTATTTTATGGACATTCCTTTAGCCGCTAGCACAGCAGTAATTCTCCTGGGCATAGAATTGATCAAATTTTCACAATAAGCAGGAGTGATTTCATTGGACCAAACCAACATTATCTTTTTTTTCAAATCATCATATGATGATGGCTTTAAAGCGGCTACCTTTTTCTCTAACAGATGCCAGCAATTCTCTATTGGATTTAATTCAGGCAAGGATCTCGGCCAAGGAGAAAGTACCTGAATATTTTTCTCAGCAAGCCATTTAGTAATCACCTTTGCCCGGTGACATGGTGCACCATCATGCTGGAAGATTTTCAAAATTTTTAGATATTCATTGGCATTAATGGTTGTTTTAGGAGGCATGAACCAAATACCTGCTTGTCCTCTGGTCGAAATTGAAGCCCAGACCATGATTGATTGGCACTGTTTAACATTGCATTTGGTGTACTTGGGATTCAGTTGCTGATTAACAGGTTTATAAACAAAAGAATGAAGAGGAGCAAACTGCTTTATTTGACTTTCATCTGAAAACATTACTCGCGCCCAATCCAACGCTGTCCAGTCTTTGTGCTTTTGACAAAAGGCAATCCGATCCTTGATGTTCTTGGCAGAAAGCCTAGGTTTAATGGAAGGACGTCGGGCATGCAGGTTGAATCAGAGGATAGTCTTCTTCTGATAGTTCTGGAGGAAACAGTAACAGAGGATGGCAAGTTGTGTTGTATTACTGTGGATGATGACATTGGAGAATTAGTACAAGTGCGATGAATCAAGCGGTCAGTCTGCATAGAGGTACATTTTGGTCTACCAGATCTTTTTCGGGAAGTTAAGCTGCCAGTCTGCTGCAATCGAGTTATTGTGTTATGAACTGCAGTTTTAAAAACAGACAAACGTTCAGCAATGCTTCTCTCAGTGTATCCCTCCTCTTTTAAAATACTGATCTGTGCTCGAACTAATATTATGCGTGAACTGAAGTTATGCGTGCAACATACTACATATATGACAATTGTATTACTCATCAGTTTTCCTCGCATCATCAGTGATGCTGACAATAAATTGTTGTGTTCTGAATTATGTTGAATTACTAATATGAATTATATTGGAAAAAATTGACATGGTTGTTCATTGAATAAAATTTTATGGTTAAAATCAGTTTTTAGTCTTTTTAAACCCTTGGTCTCAGACTTTGTCCAGTACTGTATATATATATATATATATATATATATATATATATATATATATATATATATATATATATATATATATATATATATATATATATATATATATATATATATATATATATATATATATATATATATATATATATATATATACTCTTGCATGGTAGTTAAAAAGAGTTTCCCATAAACTGTAGTTTTAAAGAGCGCGTTAATAAACCAGACCAGAAAAAGTTTAAAAATTTAAACTTTTTTTTTTTTTTAAATAATAGACTGCCTGCCCAAACCAAACCCTCAGTTGATGTAGCAGCACTCCCTTGCAAGTCAGGCTATTTGTCAGTCGTTGTAGCAGCACTCCCTTGCGAGTCAGGCTATTTGTCAGTCGATGTAGCAGCACTCCGTTGTGAGTCAGGCTATAAGATAGTCGATGTAGCAACATTTATGCATGTTTTAAAAATGTTTTTTAATAAAAAAAAACAAAAACACCACTAATTAAAAAAAACTTTCTAGTTATTATTGCGGTTTTTTAAAAATTTTTTAAAAAACAAAATTTAATGTACTTCATTTCAACGACAATCAAATACAGCTTAAGAGACGAGGTAATTAAAATTGTAGTCGAAAGAGACTTTTTTTACATTAAATGACTATTTCGACTACACTATAAGGATATATATATATATATATATATATATATATATACAGGCCTTGTTTAAATAAAAAAGTGCTTAATGCATTAGCGTAACGCGGTATTTGACATCTTAAAATTATCTTTATTTTTTTTTATAGATGTTAAGTGTTTTAACTACCGCAATAAATAAATAACCGCTAACTAGTTCAATTTAACAAATAACTATAAACGTTTTAAATGTAAATTTATAATAAAAAGTTTGTAATGATTTCAATTGTTATCTTATTATTAATTTTAGTTCAATATTACTTAGTAAAAATATATATATATATATATATATATTTTAATTATTTCTGAAATTTGTTTTTGAATAATTATTGTTTATATATAAACAATAATTATTAAGATTTATATATAAATCATTATTGAATAAAAAATAATGATTTTTTTTTATTTTTAAAAATTTCTGGAGTAAACAAAAAATATTAACATTGATAAACAAAAACCTATGTTAATTATTTAAACAGCGATTTTGTTTTCACTAGCAAAGAATATTTTTGTGATTTGTTTAAAATGTAAAACATAAAAATGTTTTACATTTTAAACAAATCACAAAGAAACAGAGCTATAGAGAAATATCGTTTTTAACGATTAAATCTTTTTTTTTTAATTTTAGAAAATTTAAAAAAAATTAAATTAAATATAAAAGTCCTAATTATGCAAACTCTTTTGTTAATTATTCTTAAAACCAAAAACAAATACTTCTCCGCAAAACTTTAATCGTGCAAACTTAAAAAAAGACTCAACTGAAATAATATAAGTATATTTAATAATTTGAATCATATCTGTTTATAATAAACGTTCGTAAAAATTTGTTTATTAAAAATTAAGTTCCTTAACTTATAAACAAACTCAAAAGTATTTTCATTCTACATATAATTACAAAAAAAAAAACTCTTTTTTTTCTTCGTTTGTAAGCTATTTAACTTGATAAAATAAAAATATAGTTTATTAAACTATATTTTTATTTATATATCAACTTAAATTAAATATAGTAACATGTTTAAATATTTTAACATGGCTTGTGTTATTTATAAACCGTAGGGCAGCTGCCCTTACGGCACAATTGTTTTAGGATTATATTTTATTTTGATGAAGATCACATAACTTATATTTGATTTTAATAACGTAAGTCTTCTCTTTTTCTGTGATCATCGCATCGGCAAAGTTCCAAGATTTAAAAGTTTTTAAAAGAAATCTTTAGTCCTTCAAAATACAATCCATATTCGAACTTTAAACAATTAGAGAGAATAGAATTATAAAAGGTTTTTATATACTAGTTTGTCTTGTTTTATAAAGAAAAATACATATTCATTAATAAAAAATAGAGACTGTCATTAAACTAAAACGTGCCTTAGTATTTATTTAACGGAATCTGTAATGTGCGCGTGCATAATGAAACCTCCATTATATATTATAGCGGATGTTATAGTCTACTCGTGATTACTTTACCTTATAATATAACTTGATCTATGAAAAAAATTTATTGAATCGCACGCAGAAGAAATTTAACAAATTGTCTTCATTCAAAATTTGCGAGTAACAGGTAATTTTTTTTTTCTGTGCTGGCCCTCTCCCCCCGCATAACTTAAAAGCAAAAGTATCTATATACCTTTAACTAATAAGAAAAGCAAAGAGTAATAATTAATGAAGTAATTTTTAGAAAAATACAAATAGATTGTTCATTCATTGGCACATTTTTTTTAATATCTTGAAAAAATGTCTTGATATTTTTGTTATCATGATAACAAAAATATTAAGACGTTTTTTGATATATTAAAAAAATGTCAACCCTTAATTACAAATTTTTTTAATATGAATTTAGTAAAAGACTCTTTTTAATATGAATTTAGTAAAAGACTCTTTTTAATATGAATTTAGTAAAAGACTCTTAAAAAATTTATATTACAAAAAACATTTATATTCTGTATTAATAAGTTTGGAATATAAAAGTTTTTTACTGAAAACTTTAAAAAGTTACTACTTTTTATTAAAAACATTTGCAAAAAATTTGTAGTTAAGGATTGACGAACAATTTTTCATGTTACTAAATATTTGAATAAAAAGTTAAGCGTAAAATTAAATTATAAAAACGTATGATATGTCGCGATAAAAAGTTACTTCAATTATTTTTAACGTAATTGTTTTTTTCTAATAAATATTTTTACATATCGTTATTCAAAAGTTAATGTGGTTTTTTTAAAAATTTATTACTTCTTTTATGTTACCGCTAATTTAAAAGTTAAAAAATGATAAAAAGTAGCTTAACCAAAACAGCTCTACGCGTACGTAAAAATCTTAAGGCGTACATAAATCGCTCTAGGCGTAACGCTTTAAAACAAGCCCTGATATATATATATATATATATATATATATATATATATATATATATATATATATATATATATATATA